AGTTCTTGATTCTGATAAAAACTGCAAACTTTAGCTACAACGTAGATACTATACACGCGAGGATGCTTGGAACGCAGTGTGGTACATAAATGGTACAAGACTAGATGACAGGATCATACGCACGGACTGGGATGCAGGCTTTGTCGAGGGACGCCAGTTTGGAAGAGGCAGGAGTGGAGGACAAGTAAGTGATAAAGAGGTTGTTTGTGTTACAAGCAGAACTATTACCATGAAGATAATTGCCACAGTAATGATGTTGATGGAAGACTGTTTGTGATGATTTTGGTGGCCGACTGTACTGATTGTTACATGCAGCTGATGGTTGTAAAGATAATGATCTTGTTATTGACAAAAGTGTTAATGGCAGTGATGACTGTTAATGATGATGACAATCATGGTAAATATGATGACAGTGATAACTAGGACATGTATCAATGGTCAATAGTTATATGTTTGGTAATGACACTGAACAGTAATACATGTAGTACTGATGACCAAGCATAAGGAGCTGTATAGGAAAATCAAAGATTTTCTGTCCGCAACAGTATTGTGTAAATAAATGGTCAAATTTCAGTTGGGGGTTGGGGATTCTCCCCGCTGCTACTTGCGTGATCCCTGGCTAATTTCACTGGAAACGAATGGAAAATACAACACAACTGCTCAATTCCCTGCTTATTATAATATACCTGGCAACTTGAAAGCTAAGTGGCTGCCCTGACTATAAAAATAGCAACAATATAGTGATGGTTGATGGTGAGACTGATGATGGTCTTTAAATTTCAGGTACGAGATGAGTACAGAAGTGATTATGATCCCGGTAGAGGAGGATTTGGCAAAAAAGCTAACACCCAACAGCAGGGTGCAGGAGTCATTACAAGCCCACCTGTTGCTTATTCAAAGCGTTGAGCTGACATTCTGTACAGAAGAAAGGATATTTGTCTGGCTCAGCAAAGAGTAGCCCACATTCAATATATTAAAATTATTACATGACTCCAAGCCTTTCTGGTCATTTTTCTACATTTGGTTGGGTTTTCTTTGTGCCCAAGTCTCTTCTGGGAATTGCGAGATGATGGAGTCATGATTTAAGTGTTAGCAAGACTATTATTCCTGAGAATTTCTGGGAATTCTAAAGATTTTGACCCTAAAGCCTCAAAGTCATGTTAGAATTTTCATATATCGAATGTGGGTATCATCTGGGGATATTCTCTTTTAAAAAAACAGGCAAAATACTTAAATACTATATACTATACTGAAGGAGGTTGTCTTCCTAGTTTAGATCATTTGGATGATGCAAACATATTCCCATGGGAGTGGATATAAAATGGTGACAGTAGATGCATAGATCCCTACATGCTGATTTTCAACACAAAAGTCCACCATTCCACCTTTGTGATACCATTGCGAACAAACTTGAATCTGCAAGACATTTTCTTTATTCTGTACTGTTCTCACTTATAGCACTGTAAAAAGAAAATATTTATTGTAGCCAGCAACAAGATTTGCAGAATTTCCTATTTTTTTCATCATTTGTTTCTTAAAGTAACTTTACATTAAATTAAAATTTCAACATAATTTCCAGCTGTTGTTGATTTCTCAGAATATATTAGCTTTTTTTTGGGTGGATTTTGATATAATTTTTTTCGAAAATTATAATTATTTTTTTTACCACATAATAAATTTTTTAATATTTCTTTTTTTTTTTATATTTTTTTTTTTAAATTAAATTTAATTAAAATAAAAATTTAAAAAAAATTTCCCGCGTTTGTGGATTTTTAAAAAAATTTTACGTTTTTTTGGGGGGGGGGGGGAAGGGGTTAGGGGGAGAGTAGAGATGCGCCAACAGTCTTCGGTAATGAGTAAAACAAGGAATGCAACAACAAATGAGCAAGATATACAGAGCAAGTTTAAGTGTGAGATGTGGGCAGTTTTTTTTTATTGCCAGCAAGCTCGCTGGCACACAATATTTCAATAAAACATGATTTATTGCATTTTCTTTCAGTATGGATCTTGAAAGGACCGTGCCACTAACTTCAGTGTATTAAGGGCATCACAGGATGGCCAAATGTCATAGAATCCATTGCTAATCAGTTGCTGACATGGTGTCTCCTGCACCAAAGAAGTTCTTTTTGACAATGTGCCGCAAGCACTGTAGAATGACATTCCTCTCATGGCGGATTTCTGGGGCCAAAAGCTTTTCTAGAAGAGTTGATTTCCTTACACTCGGTGATTTGGGGTCAACCTGAATATAAAAAGCAAAATCAAACAAACAACCAATAAAAATATATATAATTAGAGCATTTTTTCTTGATTCTGTATGGATCTTTTAAAACGAGAACATTACATTGACACATGACTCTGGCTTTCCTTCCTACCTATTTTAAGATAAGGTTCTCTAATACATTAAAAATTCATGAAAATAAAACAAGTAAATCGCTATCACAAAGGTTTTTACCAATTTTACAAACTTTAGCTTTGAATTTCCTGAAGAATTATATACCATTTAAAAAGCTATATTTTCCTTCACACAGTGTTTCATCCCATTTCTACTCACCTAACAGTCGGTTTTAAATAAACTTGGCAGTGTTTCACTTTTTCAAGCCTCTCTAATATATCATCAGGATATTGGATTAAAAAATTTTTCTCACATTTGATACGTTACTTACAGTAAGAAAGAGTCATGTTCAGTTGGTTAGCCTGCGTAGCAGGCGCTAGGAAATAAAAAGGCACAAGAAAGAATGGGCGAGTGTGAGGGAGACATGCAAGGGGACACGTGTCTCCTTCGCGCAGACCCGTTCTTTCTTGCACCCATTTATTTCCTAGCACCTGCTATGCAGGCTATCAGTTGGTCAAAATTCAGCTCAGTGATGTTTGAAAGGCATGATCTCACCTTAGAGCTTGTTTTCCTTTTTCCCCTATGACCTCTTCGTGATTTACTGTTTTTCTTGCTGTTAGTGTCCCCTCTGGTTTCACTTGTACTATCTATGTTGTGTCTTGAATTCACTTCATTTGAACAAGATTTCTCGGGGATGTTTTCATAGTTAGTGCAGTTGGTTTCCTTATTGTTGTTTATTTCTGTTGCTAGAAAAGTGAGGACCAGAAAGTATTAATACACTATTATCATCATCATTATCATCATCATCATCATCATCATCATCATCATCATCACCATCATCAGCTAAACAACAACCTTATCGGGTTGAAACACCACAAGCAAATTATATTTTTTGATCATTTGTACCTGATATTTCTTCATTATCATCAGAATCACTAGCATATGCTGAGCACAAAGAATTCAGAGCTGAAACTTGCACAGGTGCTGTATTAGGTGTCGTTTCCTGCGTACTACTGGGACATTTTCTTTTGTCTTGATTTCCAGTTTCTGAATCTAAAACAAAATAAAAATAAAAGGCTTTCACAATCTGTTCAACTTGGTTTCATAAAACATTTTGAACAGTTGTGACATCTGACTGAACAGTTTTTATATCCATCCATTAAGTACTGGTATCTGTTTAAAAGATTGTGATTTCTATTGGGATTCCTTTCCATACAGTGGCAGTTGATAGAGTTTGATACTAAAGCATAAAACCTTAAATGACAAATAGATTGGACATCTCCAAAAAATGTATTAAAAGTCTTGCTAACTGAGGACACTAAAATAATGGACTGAACTTAAAAACAAACACAACAAATTTAACAAAAAAAATTAATTGTGTTTTGTAGCTAACCGCCGCCTGGTTGGCTGAGTTGGAAGATTGCTGGTCTGCTGAGCGGGAGGTCGTGGGTTCAAATCCCAGCCGGACCAACACCCAGGGTCTTAAAATAACTGAGGAGAAAGTGCTGCCTTTGTAATGAGGTCTGCAAATGGTTAGACTTTCTAGTCTTTTCTGATAAGGATGTTCTTGTGGGACGTAAAGAACCCACACCACTGTTCGAAAAGAGTAGGGGACGTAGACCCCAGTGGTGTGGCCAACCTCTCCTGGGCTGGGTCGGTTATCTGCAAGGACACACTTAAATTGGAGCTCCCCTCTGTTGTGTGTTCTGCACCATATGGTGGAAGTGATTAAATAATTAAGAACTAAACATACATGTTGAAAAACTTATTCCATTCTACATGGGACTTACCGGATTCTTCCTCATCATGTGAATTGCCAAGTACAAATGAGAGTGGATCACTGCCACTTTGTAACCTATTATGTCCTTCACTATCTTTGCCCTCTGCTACTTCACTGTTTTGTGTCTGGTTTTTAGACATTTCTTTGCTATTAACATCCTCCTGTCCCCCGCCATGGTGGCCTTGATTGTTAAAATGATTGCGACCACCTTGCTGGGATGATCTTCGCCCACGCTGTCGACCTCTATGATATCTTGAAAGATAAAATGAAATAAAGTAATAACTAATACCCTGCTCATACAAAGTTGTGGTGATGATACATCTGTACAAGATTGAAACAGCGTAGGATATTCTGTCCATGTTTACTTAAACACTGGTATCAAAGGGGGTAAAGAATGTAAAGAGTCTATTTTATGTCTATTTCTAATAAACCTGAGGCCAACAATTTTACTCTCCCTCTCCTTCAGCAGTGGCAGATCCAGACCTTCAGATAAGGGGTGGGGGGAGGGGGTCAACCAGACCCTGAGATAGGGGGGGGGGGCAGTCCCCAAAAAATTTTTTTTGGCCCTTAGGGACACATTTCGGCCTAAAAAAAAGGGGGGGGGGCCCCCTAGGCCCCCCCCCTGGATCCCCCCCCGGTCAAAGCTTCATTTTACAGGTATAAAGCTACTTAAAGCTACGCGGAAAAGAAAGAAGTCTAAAGGAGTATTTGAGGTTGTAGTTGGGAATCGAAATCGGGACATCTCACACAGAAGGCCAAGCACTAAACAACTGTGCTAATCCCTTCTTCTAAGGAAGGCATGCCGATTCTTTCTGACTGCAGACTGTCAGTCACATGATAGGGAATTTCACTAAATGAACACTAATATTTTATTACAATCATGATATTAATTGCATTGTACCTAAAATTTTTGGTCTTCAAAACCTGCCCTGATGCTCTTCTCTTTGCTTCTTCTTCCTTCTTTTTCTCTACATTAGCTAAAGTAGGGTACTTTCTAGTGGGAAAAAAAGGAAGAGGTCGTGGATTCACTTACTAATACTTCCTTAATGCAGACAATAAAGAAACAGTGTTATCCCCCCTCACTGTGCCCGTATTATAGTGGCAGGGACTGTATGATGATCAAGGCATGGAGAAGTTCCCTTAAAGAGGCCGGGTTGGACTGTATAGGGTATAAAAGCTCAGTACTGGTTAGGCACTGAACACTTCTTCAATCTGTGGCCAGGGAAACCAGCAATCAGGGTCCCTTTGCTTCTCAGATAAGGACATAAAACTGAAGGCCCTGTCTCACAACACTTTTCCCAATCTGGATCTTGTGTGAGATGTTAACAAGCCACAAAGGACAAAATAACCTATGGCAATGACCAACCAACCCTACTGACTATCGGCATCTTACATTAGGCCTATAAGTTGCATTTGTGTCCTTCTCATTGGGCCGGTCGTAACCCAGTAAAAATGTGGTAAATATTGTAAAGCAATGCAGCTTAGGGTGGGGAGGGGAGAGTACCCTACATGGGACCTATGTCGCATTTTTGGGCCTTCCCCATTGGGGAGGTCTATGCCCAGTATGTAGGTTAGGGTGGGGTTGGTCAGGAGGGCATCTTTCACACAGGGCCTATCGGTTCCATTTGTGCCCTCCCTGCCCAGTAAAAGCAGTAAATTTTGTTTAGGAAATTTATACATAGTAGGGTGGGAAAATTTGAACTCCTCTCCCACCCCCTCAAAAAATATATATTTAATCTTTTGCTCAAACCTCTTTCTCTCTTCCCTCCACTTAGCTATTTCTTCTGGTGTATCCAGTTTTATCCTCATTTTCCCTGGTGTGTGTACCTAGAAACAGAGAATTTAACAAACATTTGTAACAATATACCAAGCTGATCACTACATAAACTTTACCACTGCTCTAGTTCATATTTAGTTTTTATACAAAACCTGTATCCAGTGTAATTTGAGCATTTTCCTTGTTGCCTTGAATGCACAATCTTCATAATTACACTGCAAAAGGCATAATCGGTTTGTTAGCATTTTGAAGTCAACCAGCCTAACGTTAATCTACCGATTTCTGTGTGGTCACAGTGAACAGTAATCAATGTGTAAATGGAAAACTTGGGTCATGTGGTAAAAATTTATATCTGACATGTGTCAGAAATGGGACTCTAAATCTCTCAGGGGTAATACTGCTGCTTTAACAATACCTGAATGTGTGTTCCTAAATGTGCATTTAATGTCTCTTTGCTGGTGAACTGCTTTTGACAAGCGTCACAGCTGAACTTGGTTTCTACAGCGTTCTGACCAGTTTCATGGGCTCTACTTGTTTTTCCCTAAAAGAAAATAAAAATGTGTCAGTGCTTTGACCTTTTTTCTCCTTGGGGTGTAAAAGTCATATATTAACCTTCAACAATAAGGGCACAGATATTAAAAGAAAGGCCCAGTGGCCATACATGTTTAGTAGGTGACTTCTGTTTTCGGGGTAAACCAGAATTTCCATTGTCTCTAATGAATAATTGGTGCTGGGAAACAAGGGAAAGTCTGAATCACAGTACTACAGTACTTATCACAAATCTTATTTTCCCCTCCCAGATGTTGATTTGGGTTTGCAGTCATTTCAGTGCTCCAAAATACGCTTGGCTCAACATTGGGGAAGGAGAGGGGCACATTTGAGTGAGAACAAATGTGTAAAGAGTGAATGTATGAAATTTGGAGAAAATTCAAGACAAATGGCTCCTGCTTCAACGATTTGTGACGAGTATTGTAGGTTTGATATGTTTAACCTGAGAATGGATTTTACCAACAAAACATGGACCAGATTGTGGGGGGTGGGTTTGCTTAGTACCATGGAAGCCAGAGATGCTTCAAGCAGCTCTCTATGCTGGTAATTTCTCCTTGTGTTGGAGTTGAAGTCAGGATCATAATCAGAAGCATAGTGCTTAATGTTCTAGTGGAAACAGCGTTCTGCTTCCACTTACCACTTCATCTCTTACAATCTAGAAAATTAGGTTGTTGGGGTTACAAGCAGAGGCTGAAGAACTAAACCAATCAAAAAGCAAAGGAATGAACATTGTGATTGAACTTATCCTGTTACTTAATCTGCTTCAAGCTCCACTGGATCATCAATGACAGAGCCATAAGCAGAGTCAGAATAACATGGAAACCTTCTGGTCTCCTGACGTTGATTCCAGAGTACACATTATGACTCAAGTTTTTGGTTTCACTAGATCATAGGCGCACTTACAACTACCCTAGAACCTCCCATAAGCAACCACCCAAAATGCAAAGACTGAGTGGTCGCTTACAGGAGGTGGTCATTTACAAAAACTGAACCAGAGGGAGCCTTTTCCAAGAAGAGGTCCAGGCACATCTACTTAAAAATATGGAAGATAATTTATTGCATGCAATGTCTAAGTTATGACATGTGTAATTCCATGTTGTCACTAAAGTTCTTCGTTTACTCTAAGTAGCATTGTGCACACAGCGAACATAGAGATCAGAGAATGCGTCAAGTGGTCGCTTATAAGAGGTTAAAAACCATGGAAATAATTAACCGTCAGGCCCAAAAAGTGGTCGCGGTCACTTACAGGAGGTGTTCATTTACTAGAGGTTCCAACCGTGAGGCTTTAACTGGGAAAATTTTGGTGTTTTGGATTGGCAGTTGTTTATGGGAGGTGGTAGCTTACGAGAGGTTGTCGCACATGGAGGTTTGACTGAATGACTTAAGACTCTCTTGCAAATGAGAACCAGCCTTTTACATTTCTTTCATATCCTAACTTGAAAAACTTCCTGTGAGTATCTATAACTCACACAGGCTAACCATGAGCTGATAACCATTTGTTAGCCTGTGTAGTTGTTGGTTTGTTTGACAAGAGGGCACACCTCGAAACTTTGCAGCACATTTGCACATGCAAGAAACAAAACCACCAGCTATGCAGGCTACCTATTCAGTTACTTTAGATACTACCTGGAAATTGGTAACCTGTGCATGTGGTGGACGCTGAAGAGGAGACGGAGGGTGCTGATGGCGATGAGCCACGTGGTTGGATAAACAGTTACCATTTGGCCATATTGATGGCCTAAACTGACAAAACGGAGGACCAGGAAACGAGTTAAAAGGTAATCTTGGCGAAAAGCTTGGCGGAGGAAACGGTGGTCGGCTAAAAATCGAGAAAGCAGCTCCTTGGGCAAGCGTTGGACACGATGGAAAACCGTTCGCGTTGAAAGATGGCGGAAAGTTTCCAAAATTTGGAGGGGGCAGCTGCGACATCTCGTCTGTGGAAAAATACAACCCACTGGAAGAGAGTTGGTCAATCAGCAAGAGCAAGGAGCAAACGCTATCTTTTCGGAGCGGAATGTTTCGTCGCCATGTGCATGTTGTTTTCTGAAAAATCGGACAACCTTCGTATCATTTTCGGCAATTGTCGTATTCCTTTGAAACTCGTCCGAAGTCTCTCCCAGGGTCCTCTCGGTTTTCAATATGGCGGCAGAGCCTTTTTCAAGTCAAAGCCGGGATCGACGTTTTACGAGAAAAGCCTTATGTTCAGGCTACCGTTAGGACATTGCACCCTGTTTATAAAGATGCGGAATAAACCGGAGTTTGGCGTCTTTAGCCTACAGCCAAGCCCTCGATGAGGGGTGGGGTGGGCGGCTTAAACTTTGTGGTATAAAATTAGTAGTTGGTAAAAATTTAATAAGGCGCGAAAAAAAGAAACAAACTATCCGTTTTTTCGCGATTATTGGCTTTTCACTAAGGAAAATTAAAAGGACAAACTATTCGTAGAAATTGCCACCTTTCTTAATTAAAAAGCCGCGCAAAAAACTGTAAGTATAAAATTAGGGCGGTGTTACCCCCAAAACCCTAGTGATATGGGTCTCCCCTTCTCATATTACCTTAGCGAATTACGTTAGGGTTAGGGTTAGGGTTACAGGGGATGCTCAGATAACTTGGGTTTTGTGAATGGGGATACCCATGCATATCACTGTGACAGCGGCCCAAACGATTATTTGGAAATCAGGCTTAACAGAACCTTTCTCACCAGTCCCCAGTTGTTCAAAAGGTGACTGATAGCTTTATGTACCAGCAAAAGAGGATTTGCCACCGGATAAATCACTACCTAATGAGTATAAAGTATCAGGGTGAATTATCCAGGACTGGGACCAGGAATTCAACACTCAAAAACAGACAGTTCGTTGTTATCTTGAGTTTTAATCAGGTACAAATGCTATGTTACATTTTTTTCTTAAAGTATCATCCTTTACTATAACTTAACTGCAGTGGAGAACAGTTTCTATTTACAAGGTTAATGAATGCGTTGAATAAGAAGCTACTTTTTAAATTCGAACGTAAAATAGAGCTGACGGAAGCGTGTCAAAATATTGAAATGCAGGCTTTGGAACAGTTTCTCGACTGCGACAAAAAGAGTGTAGATTTTTCAGTAAAGAGGCCCAATTATAAATACGATGCAGGTGGAGGTTGTGTTAATAGTTTACAGCCTGCACAACGCGGTATTTCCACTAGAGGGTTTTAAGAAGAATATTTGGAGGTGAACAAATTGGCCCCAAATTTCATTTTTTTGCGGATGAAATA